AGACGACTGTTTCTCAGGTGCGGAAACAAATATGAATTCCGACAGAGCGTACAGCTCCGATAGAGAAGTTAAAGCCCAGATGTGAAATAACAGCCAGAGAAGTCGACGTGGATGCACTCATAAATACCGCAGATGTTAAAGGGCTGAGCTGATCAGCGTGTATACTGTCAACGGTGTGAGCCCAGCTGTGGTGGTGGTGTGTCTCAGCTGTGTGTGGTGGTCGCAGCTGTGTTGTGTGCTCAGCTGGTGCTGTGGGTGGTCTCAGCTCGTGTATTGTTAGACTAGGTGCAAGATAAATCGCAGCGAGCATGTGTACAGTGAGGCCGAAACAAGATAGACGTGTCTCAGCTGGTTGTGTGTGGTCGTGTGCTCAGCCGGTGGTGTGACCTGGTGCATCTCATCGTAAGACCAGCTGGTGTCAAATCGTGGACATCGGCCCTCCCTCAACTCATCGAAGAACCTATACGCCGGAGAATTATACTCAGGTGTGTGTGTGTGTTCAGGTCTTGTGTGTATAAGAACGACCAGGCAGTGAAAGAAAACCCGAGCAAGGCTCTTCAGGAGGAGGAGCCGTGTCCACGCTTTGCACACCAGCTGGTCTACGATGAGATGCACAAGGTAACACACACACAGCTGAGACACACACACACAGCTGAGACACACACACACAGCTCACACACACACACACACACACACAGCTGAGACACACACACACACAGCTCACACACACACACACACAGCTGAGACACACACACACACACACACACACACACACACACAGCTGAGACCCACACACACAGCTGAGACACACATACACACAGCTGGGGCTCACACACACACACACACACACACACACACAGCACCAAAAGAGCTGCAGCATTACAGCCTGAACACACACAAACACAGCATTACAGCCTGTACACACACACACACACACACTCAGCATTACAGCCTGAACACACACACACACAGCATTACAGCCTGTACACACACACAGCGTTACAGCCCACACACACACAGCATTACAGCCTGAACACACACACACAGCGTTACAGCCTGAACGAACACACACAGCGTTACAGCCTGTACACACACACACAGCGTTACAGCCTGAACACACACACACAGCGTTACAGCCTGAACACACACACACAGCATTACAGCCTGAACACACACACACAGCATTACAGCCTGAACACACACACACAGCGTTACAGCCTGTACACACACACACACACACTCAGCATTACAGCCTGAACACACACACAGAGCGTTACAGCCTGAACACACACACACACAGCATTACAGCCTGAACACACACACACACACACACACAGCATTACAGCCTGAACGAACATACACAGCATTACAGCCTGTACACACACACACAGCGTTACAGCCCACACAGCATTACAGCCCGTACACACACACACGCAGCGTTACAGCCCGAACACACACACACGCAGCGTTACAGCCCGAACACACACACACTCAGCGTTACAGCCCGAACACACACACACACACGCAGCATTACAGCCCGAACACACACACACACGCAGCGTTACAGCCCGAACACACACACACCAGCGTTACAGCCCGAACACACACACACACACAGCGTTACAGCCCGAACACACACACACTCAGCGTTACAGCCCGAACACACACACTCAGAGTTACAGCCCGAACACACACACACTCAGCATTACAGCCCGAACACACACACACTCAGCATTACAGCCTACACACACACACTCAGCATTACAGCCTACACACACACACACTCAGCATTACAGCCTACACACACACACACTCAGCATTACAGCCTGAACACACACACACACACAGCGTTACAGCCTGAACACACACACACACAGCCTTACAGCCTGAACACACACACAGTGTTACAGCCTGAACACACACACACTCAGCATTACAGCCTGAACACACACAGCCTTACAGCCTGAACACACACACAGTGTTACAGCCTGAACACACACACACACAGCGTTACAGCCTGGGCTCAGACACACACACACACACACACACACACACACACACACACACACACACACACACACACACACACACACACACACACACACACACACACACACACACACACACACACACACACACACACACACACACACACACACACACCACTTCAGGGGACATTACATTGACTTATCTGCATTTCCTGGAGACGTATCCTAACCTTAACCAAGTCTTCACCCTAAAATTAATGATTCCCCTTATGGGGACCTCCATTTTGTCCCCATAAGGGAGGTGAGTCCCCACACATGACTGTACACGTGACTATACACACACACGTTTCGGAAACCATTGCAAATACACACACCAGTTGTTGCGGGCGATGTCGTAGATCCAGAAGGAGTTGCGTACGTTCTCCTCTCGCTTGTCTTTGTCCTTGCTGAGCCCCGACAGGACGTGGATCTCGTTGAGCTCGGGGTCGATGGTGGCCCTCTGCGTGAAGCCCGTCATCGGCACTGTGGTGCAAAAACAACGAGGGGTTAAACTGAAATATTCACTCCTCCAGCAGATCTGATGCAGCTGACATAAGAACTTCCTATTTATACAGGTGTCTTTATTTAGGAGAGCGAAGGTTGTTATCCCCAGTGAAGACGTTTTTCTTCAAAAGGCTCTCCGCCATCAAACACACATTGACTTTGACTTCAAGCTGAACATTTGGTTGGATTTAACCTGTTCTGGAAACGATAACACCTATCTTTCTTCAGTAAATGTTGGCTAACACAGAGAAACGTGACGAGGCGCTTCTGAAATGCCGAGCCACGGCACACATCAACATGCATGAGTTATTATGAGACGCAGAGAAAGAAGGAACTGTTTGTGCTTTCTGCTTCCTTCCTGCCAAGACACATTCTGTTCCTTCTTGCTTTCTTTCACATTTTGAATTTGTCTATTCCTCTCTGTCTGGCTCTGGGAGATCAGAGACTATTCATACTGCGTTGAAGGTGGATTTCAGATCTCAGTCTACTTTTCTATCCGGGAGAGGAAGTGTCTGACCTGGTCGTATCTTCTCTGACGTGGCGTTTATTAGACTCTGAACCCAGCAGCAGAAATACCAAGACTGCCATTTTCATATAGTGTGATGGGGACACAGGTTAGTTAAACAATACTCATGAGGACACAGGGCAGCTGCTCAAGAAAATGAGTTATAGGAGAGCCTGAAATAAGCCAAAAAATGTACAGGAGAAAATAATAAAATAATAAAATTATGAGTATTTGGGAAATGTATGAGAATATTTTTGCCAAACATGAGTTCCTCACATAAACAAGTGTTTTAAAAACTCAGAAAATGGGGCCGTAAGAACATAAAAAATGTTTACTCTGGATCTGGCTTACTGCTACGATTAGCATATTGATAAGTGTAGTTAGCATCTTTTATTTGTTGATGTTGTTTGTTAGCATGTAGCTGGTTGTGAAACATACAATAATATCAGGTGGGATTATTTTGGTAGATATCAAAGGAAGCTTCGTGGTCCAGTTAACATTACAAAACTCCACCATGTTTGCTGTTAAAAAATGTTGCTATACTGATGCAAATGTGCCTTTCTGTAAATATAGACTGGTCTTCGCTGGAGGTGGTCTTTAAAAGTTGGTCTAATAATGAACCTTTTTGCAAGCCACTTCCTTCACCTCTGGGTTTTTTCAGATAAATAGACCAAGCGTGTTTTTAAGAGTGACTATACAGGGTATATGCAGGAATCCTGAAGTCAGATGTAATCCCTTTTAAAACCTTTTTTAAGACCCTTTCCAAACATTTTAAGACCTCATCGCCACTTGGAGTTCTTACCGGTTACCTTGGCGACACACTTCACCTCACATTGACTATATACAGTATTGATTGTCCTTCCTCCTTATCTTCCAACCATTTGGACGCAAACTTGCATTTCCCCATAACGATGTTGCTTAGCAACCGGCGTAAACGGACCTCCGTGCGCTATCAAGCGGTGAGCGTGCGATGTCCTGTTCAGATGACGTCAAATCCAACGGGATGCCATAAATAAACTACACAGAATCACACTACACACCTACGCAATGATTACATTCAGGCAGACTGTAGAATACAACCTCTTTGGACAATTTATATACTTATTGAAAACAAGCCACAAAATGTAATACCTTGGAAAACGCCGTTTAATACTTTTTAATAGCCTTCATTTCCGCACCCTGATTTAAATGGTGTTGCTGCAAAGGTTAAAATCCCTGTGTTCCCTCCACTCCCCCCCCTGCCTGAAACACCTCCATTGGACTCCTTTGTTTACCTCCGTAAAATAGTGACATCACTATGTACAACCGCGCTTCTAGTGGCTAGTGCTCCAACATATTGTACATGCTAATGGGTGAGACATCTCTCAGAGGTTGACCAATTACAACAGAGCCGGCCAGCTAACCAATCAGAGCAGACTGGGCTCTGGTTTCAGACAGAGGGTGAAAAGAGGTGCTGCAGCACAGGCAGTATGAGAAAAATAAAGAGCCTTTTGAAAATGAAAGTATGAAACTTGTCGCAGAAGAGGCACAAATACTAATATGAAACTGAAAAGGAGCAGAAAGCTAGAGAGACTTATACAGTGAGTACTGCCTTGCACACAGCTGTTAAAAGCAGTAAGGATATATATACATAAAGTAGCACATTGCACACAGTTATTAAAAGCAGCAATATGACATATACACATATAGAACAGGCTTGAAAACAAGCAGAGCATATAGATAGAGGCAGCAAAAATAGAGTTTACTGCTGACATGTGCAAGAGTGAATCATGCATTGTTTTTATTGGTTGCTGCTGGAAGATCTATAAGTGCTTCATTTTTTGATTGAATTGAATTATATTCCACTCTCTTCAACCTCAGTCAGACCAAATGACTTGCTGTAGACGCGCTTCCTTCAACAGAATAGTTTAACGTCCTCTACCCATTAGTATTGGCTCTTACGGGTATATAGGCCACACATTCTTACACAAGAACCTAAATCCTGTGCTAAGTCTACACGGCTCACTACAGGGGACTCAGCGTCTTGAATGCTTGAGGCTGACATGAAAAAATGTAGGTAATAGCCTGGCAACTAGACAGCTTACGTCATGGTTACATGTGCACTAATGCTCTTGCTGGAAGAGTGGTTTCACTCATGAGCAAGGAGAAGGTGAGCTTTGATGGAAAAAGCAGCAACCTTACCTCATTACCAATTAAAGCAGAATTGAATACACACCAAGACATTAACGTTCAGGTTATTTGTGGTATTTAGACTGACACAGGTCTGTTTCCCAAGCAGAAGTGAGCTGCTGAGGGTTCATGGAGTTCTTCACTGAAGTTATAATTATGAACTAAACAACAGCTTTGCATTAGTGAGAAAGCTTTGACTCTTGATTCTGCCCCCACTTTCCTCGTGGCAATTTAACAATTTCATTTCTAATCATTCCTTTTACTTCATGGACAATAGCAACATGTCAAAATAGTCATTTTAGAAACATTTGAGAATTGAATCTGAACTTGGAGTGGGCTATATGGTTAATGATTCAAAAGAGACGAAAATAAAGTTCAGCGAGCTCGACCAATCAGCTACTAATGGCGCTTTTCCACTGCAGCACGTTTTCTTTTGCTTTTCCACCAGGGTTAGCTCAGGGCTACTTTTTCACCTTTTTTCTGGCCCTCCAAAACCGAGGTTCTTACCGGGCCAACAACCGGGCTGAATATGCTAAACTAGTGACGTAAACACTCTCGACAGCTGAATGGTCAGAGAGAATCGCTGGCAAGGGGGCTACAGCTACAACAACATGGACATATTTTACCGTGATTTAAATTGTAACGTTTCAAAATGATGCCGAAGTAACAACACACTGACTGTCTGCAGACAAGACGGCAGGAGAAAAACCTTTTAAAATGCGTGTTTTCTGAATGAAGATTGGGTCGACCAGGCTAAGCTAACGTTGTATATGCTCCGCCCAAACTCACAACAACGGCCTACAGACAGAAATAAACCAGCGACTGTGTTCACCATGACACAGACAGTCTGTGAATTGTACTTGTTTAACTTTAGTCTGGTTTCTGAACAGATATGAGTGCTAACAGCTAACGGATGATGTTTTGGTTTTGTGGCTCGCATTGAAGATGACGTCACGGCACTTTTACGCAGCGTCGCTCTGCCCGCCGAACTGCCGATCGCCCCGCCTACACTGCGTTACTATAGTACTATACCGCAGTTACTAAACTGTGATGGAAATGCAGCTTAAAGTGAGCCTGGCCTGCCAAGACCAAACTAAGCTGTGCTAAGCCGTGCTAGGTCCTGCAGTGGAAAAGCGCCATAAGAACACAAAAGGCACACTCCACAAAACACTACGTGATGTTTAAATACATGTTTAAGCAAAAGCACCAAACTTTCCCTTGTTGTAGCTTTTCAAATGTGAAGATTCACTACTTATAGTCTTCATGATATTTAACCTGATTTATTTTGGGGTGTTACACTGCTTCTTGCACAGAACCAGCAACTTAAAGACTTCAACTTGGCAATAGATAACTGTAAGGGCATTTTTCATGAATTGCTTACCAAAGAATAGTTGACAGTGAAAAAGGTCGACGTTTCAGCCCTATTTGTCCTGTTAATGTTTTGTCCTTCAATACAAAATATAGAAACACAGAGACCTAAATACACCATATAATAAAATAACCAAAAGGACACCGCAGTCTCATAAATGCCCTATTGACACTCTTTCTCATTTGTATTGAGCAAACAGACACCTGCGTCAATAATTGAGTCTATTTAAAGTATGAGATACAGGAAGTGGCAGAATCAAAAGGCTTGGTTCAAGTCTGTTTCATGAAGCCGGGGCCAGAACACACACCACAGACTGCTGTTGGAATACACACAGGATTGTGTTTTCACACAACAGTAACATCCCTGTTATTACAGGGTGAGAAACACAACAAGAGACAGTTACAAGGCCAATGTTTAATCTGAGAAAACACCTTTAAGGACTGATAAACAAAACCACAGAGCTGCAGTTTGTCATGTAACATCTGCCGGGCAGAGGAGGACAGGAATTCACTTTCTTTCTTTCTGAGCATAAAACCAGTTCCAAGCTCCTGTGTTTAGGGAATCCAGTGTTTATGGCCTGACACGCACTAAGGCATCTCGTGACAGAGAGAGCTGCTTATCTTCCAATATTTTACTTCCTATTGCTTTAAACTAAAATGAAAAACTAAGATAGAAATTCTTCCATTCATTTTATTATCATACATGGTCTTATTTTAAAGGTAGTGTCCATCTAGGGGCTATAACTAATGAGAAGTGTCATTATTTGTATTTTATTAATCAAGAAAATAATCTAGTGATAAATTACTAATAGAAAAAATAGTTAACTGCAGCCTTAATACATGATTTGCACAGCATTTGTATGGAAATAAAACTTCTGAATAGGATTAACTAAATATAATGTGCTTCAAATAGAATATTAGACTACACCTAAGACA